TTGGGAGACTTTTGATGACAGCTTCTATTTCCATAGGGGTTATAGGTCTATTTAAATTGCTTATCTGTTCTTGATTTAATTTTGGCAATTGATAGCTGTCCAGGAAGTCATCCATTTCCTTTAAATTTTCGAATTTTGTGGAGTACAGGTTTTCAAAGTATGACCTAATGATTCTCTGGATTTCCTCAGAGTCTGTTGTTATGTCCCCCTTTTCATTTCTAATTTTGTTAATTTGCGTGTTCACTCTCTGCTGTTTGGTAAGTTTGGACAAAGGTTTGTCTATCTTGTTGATTTTCTCAAAGAACCAACTCTTCGTTGCATTGATTCTTTGTATTGTTTTCCTGGTTTCTACTTTATTGATTTCAGCCCTCAATTTGATTATTTCCTGGCGTCTACTCCTCCTGGGGAGTGTGCTTCTTTGTGTTCTAGAGCTTTCAGCTGTGATGTTAATTCTCTGGTATAACTGTTCTCCTGTTTCTTCATGTGAGCACTTAGCGCTATGAACTTCCCCGTAGCACTGCTTTCAAAGTGTCCCATAGGTTTGGGTATGTTGTGTCTTCATTCTCATTGAATTCGAGGAAGTCTTTAATTTCTTTTTTATTTCCTCTTTGACCCAGGGATGGTGCAGTTGAGCATTATTCAATTTCCATGAGTTTGTAGGTTTTCTGCAATTTGTGTTGTTGTTGAATTCTAATTTTAAAGCATGGTGGTCTGATAAGATGCATGGAGTTATTCCAATTTTTTTGTAGCTGCTGAGGTTTGATATGTTGCCAAGTGTGTGGTCGATTTTTGAGAAGGTTCCATGTGGTGGTGAGAAGAAGGTATATTCTTTTTTATGTGGATGAAATGTTCTATAGATATCTGTTAATCCCAGTTGGGTCATTACTTCTATTAGACCTTTTGCTTCTTTGTTGAGTTTCTGTTTGGTATTCCTGTCTAGTGGTGAGAGTGGTGTGTTGAAATCTCCCACTATAACTGTGTGGGGCTTTAGATGAGATTTAAGTTCTAATAATGTTTCTTTAACGAATGTGGATGCCTTTGTATTTGGGGCATAGATGTTCAGGATAGACACTTCATCTTGGTGGGTTTCACCTGTGATGAGTATGTAATGACCTCCTTCATCTCTTTTGATTGATTTTATTTTAAAGTCGAGTTTGTTAGATATTAGGATTGCTACCCCTGCTTGTTTCTTGGGTCCATTTGATTGAAAAATTTTTTCCCAACCTTTAACTCTCAGGTAATGTCTGTCTTTGAGGGTGAGGTGTGTTTCTTGTATGCAGCAGAAGGAAGGGTTCTGTCTTCGAATCCAATCTGCCAGTCTGTGTCTTTTTATGGGTGAGTTAAGGCCATTAACATTGAGGGATATTAATGACCAATGATTGCTCATCCTTCAATTTGCGATGGTTGTTGTTGGTGGAATTTCACCCCTTTGTTCTTTTGGCTGTTGGTAGAGAGGGATTCTCTAATGCTTATGTTTTTCTGGTTGTAGTTAGCTTCCTTGGGTTGGAGTTTTCCTTCCAAAATTTTCTGTAGGGCTGGGTTAGTGGACACATATTGCTTGAATCTAGTTTTGTCATGGAATATCTTGTTTTCTCTGTCTATAGTGATTGAGAGCTTTGCCGGGTATAGTAGTCTGGGCTGGCATCCATGGTCTCTTAGTGTAGGTAGAATATCTATCCAGGACCTTCTGGCTTTCAGAGTTTCCATGGAGAAATCAGGTGTAATTCTGATAGGTCTGCCTTTATATGTTACTTGACCTTTTTCCTTAGCTGCTCTTAATATTCTTTCTTTATTCTGTATGTTTGGGGTCTTGATTATTATGTGGCGAGGGGATTTTTTTTGTGGTCCACTCTATTTGGTGTTCTGTAGGCTTCTTGTACCTTCATTGGCATGTCTTTCTTAAGGTTGGGGAAGTTTTCTTCTACGATTTTGTTGAATATGCCTTCTGCCCCTTTGAGGTGGATTTCTTCTCCTTCTTCTATACCTATTATTCTTAGGTTTGGTCTTTTCATGGTGTCCCATATTTCCTGGATGTTTTGTGTTAAGGATTTGTTGGATTTAAGGTTTTCTTTGGTTGATAAATCCATTTCTCCTAGCGTATCTTCAACACTTGAGATTCTCTCTTCCATCTCTTCTATTCTGTTGGTAATGCTTGTATTGGTAGTGCCTGACTGTTTGTCCAGCTTTTCTATTTTCTGCCTTTCTTCAGATTGTGTTTTTTTAATGACTCTATTTCAGTTTTCAACCCTTGCAGTGTTTGCATTGCTTCTTGCAATTTTCTGTTTATCTGTTCGTCCGTTTGTTGCCTTTTATGAATTTTTTGGTTTGTTCTTTCTTCCATTTCTTGCATTTTTTGGTTTGCTTTTTGTTCCATTTCTCGCATTTTGTGCTTTGTTTCTTCTTCCATTTCCTACCTTTTTTGGTTTGTTTCTTCTTCCATTTTTTTCATTTTTTGCTTTGTTTTTTCTACCATTTCTTTCATTTTTTGCTTTGTTTCTTCTTCCATTTCCTGCCTTTTTTGGTATGATTCTTCTTCCAATTCTTGCATTTTTTGCTTTGTTTTTTCTTCCATTTCTTGCATTTTTTGCTTCATTTCTTCTTCCATTTCCTGCCTTTTTTGGTTTGTTTTTTCTTCCAATTCTTGCATTTTTTGGTTTATTTTTTCTTCCATTTCTTGCATTTTTTGGTTTGTTTCTTCTTCCATTTCTTTGAGGGATTTTCCAATATCCTCTTTTAGGGCCTCTATCATTTTCATGAAAGTGCTTTTAAGGTCGTTCTCTTCTGCTTCGTCCGCATTGGAATGTTGGGGTCTTGCTGGTGTGGAGTCTCTAGAATCTGACGGTGTCATATTTGTTTTTCTGTTGCTGACTGTGTTTTTGTATTGTCTCTTTCCCATCTCTTCTTCTAGTGGGTGCAGAAAGAGCCCCTTACTGGTCTGGGGACCAGAGTTCCCTTTTGGTGGGTGCTAGCAAGTCCAATAATCTGGTGGTTCTTCTATTCCTTGTCCGAATGCTGGTCCCGTGGGTGGAGAAGAAGAACAGGAATCTGGGGCGCTTATCCTCTTACCTGGTCCCCTGGACCCTATGCTGGGTCCTGTTGTACTTGATCCAGAACAGCTACTCCCCTGGTCTCCCTGCCTCCTCTCCTTTCCTGGTCTCGTTGGTGGGAGAGAAGATCTGGAGTCTGGGGTGCTTGGCTCCTGCTGGGATTGGGAGCTCTGTGCAGGTCCCAGGCGATCTGCAGGCACTGGAGCACAGGCCGGGAAGCTGGCCTGTTTACCTGATGCTGCTGGAGGAACAGCTGCTTCCCTGGACTCCCAGCCTCCTCTCCTTTCCTGGTCTCGTTGGTGGGGCAAAGATCTGGAGTCTGGGATGCTTGGCTCCCGCCGGGATTGGGAGCTCTGTGCAGGTCCCAGGCGATCTGCAGGCACTGGAGCACAGGCCGGGAAGCCGGCCTGTTTACCTGATGCTGCCTGAGGAACAGCTGCTTCCCTGGACTCCCAGCCTCCTCTCCTTTCCTGGTCTCGTTGGTGGGAGCGAAGATCTGGAGTCTGGGGTGCTTGGCTCCCGCCGGGATTGGGAGCTCTGTGCAGTTCCCAGGCGATCTGCAGGCACTGGAGCACAGGCCGGGAAGCAGGCCTGTTTACCTGATCGAGAGTCTCTTTTATTATTTATTCACTTATTAATATACTTCAGTTTTTTTTAAAGACAGGATTCCTTGTTATCTGGAACTAACTCTGTAGACTAGGCTGGCCTCCAACTCAGAGATCTTCCTGTTTTTGCCTCCTGAGTTCGGGATTAGTGGCATACTCCGCCAGCGCCCAGCTGAGGGCCTATTTTTGATAAAGATATAATTTATATGTCATATAGTTCACTCAGTGATTTTGTTTTTTAGTGAAGCCAAAATGATTTGCTATCTTATTCAGAATATTTCTGGGATATCTCCAAGGGACACACCACATCCGTTAAGCAGTCATTCCCCATGCCAGCTACCTCATAGCTTCTGGCTGCCATAGACCTCCTTTCTGACTCTTTGCATTGTCCTGTTTTGGATGCTTTATTATTTTAAAATTTTAATGTGTGTGGGTTGTAAATGTCTAGGTATTCACGTTTGCATTGTGGGGGTGCAGCTAGAGTAACATGTGGGCTTCCTTGCTCATGACCTCCTGTAATTCCAGCTCCAGGGGGTCCAACACCCTCTTCTGGTCCTCCCAAGTGCCCACATACATGAGCATACACACATAGGCACAGAGACGCAGACACCTACACATATGTTAAAAAGACACTAAAAAAAAAGAGTTCAGTATTTCCCTTACCTTCATAGTTCACTGTTAGCAGCAGTTTTTCCAGAACTGTCTACCTTGCATGTCCAAATCTGTTATGAGGTTCAACTAGAAAGATCCCTTTCAAAAGTTTTTTCTTCTTTCTATGACTTGTGAGTCATGGTCATTGATGTATGGAGTGATTCTGCAAGTGTGTGTGTGTGTGTGTGTGTGTGTGTGTGTGTGTGTGTATGTGTGTGTATGTGTGTGCACACGGGGGATGTGCTGTATGTGTACACTCATAAATACGTGCACATGTGGAGGCCAGAGGTTGATATTAGGTGTCTTTCTCAATGGCTCAGTGGCCACTTATTTTTTTGAGGCACAGTCTTTCACTGAGCCTGGATACCATTGATTCAGCCAGACTTCCTGACTGTTGAGCCCCTGGCATTCTCCTGTCTGTGACCTTGCATTACCCCCACCACTGGGGTTACAGATCTGAGCCACCATGTCTAGCTTTTATGTGACTGCTGGGAATCCAAACTCAGGTCTCTGTGTCTGTGCAGCAAGCGCTTCCCCAGAGAGCCATGTCCCCAGGCCCTCGATTTTACTAGCTTTGCAGAGATTTCTGTGGTGGGTTTTTTAAGCACTGGGTTCTTGATATGCACTGAGAACTACAGCCTACACAGGTAGACTTTGCTTTTGAGCCTGATGTCCTGTGTGTCCCCTTTCATTGCAGATGGTCCCCATCCCTGCTGGAGTGTTTACAATGGGCACCGATGATCCTCAGATCAAGCAGGATGGAGAAGCCCCTGCCAGGAGAGTCACTGTTGATGCCTTTTACATGGATGCCTATGAAGTCAGTAATGCTGATTTTGAGAAGTTCGTGAACTCAACTGGCTACTTGACAGAGGTAATGGGCTTGAGGATGGGAGGGAGAATGTGCTATTACCCAGAACATTCCAGAAGGGTTTAATAACTACAAACACTGAACTTTGAACACTTTTACTTTGTGTCTAGGGGTCACTGAATCACAGCGCAAGGCAAGAGAATGTTTGTCTCAAATGGGAACTGGGAGCTTGATTTTCTAGTTTATGACTGTTTCAGTGAGAATCTCAAATGTACTTTTTCCTAAGTCCTGTCCTTTTTAAAATCTCATAAAAAACCTTTACCCTGGCCGGGCGTTGGTGGCGCACGCCTTTAATCCCAGCACTCGGGAGGCAGAGGCAGGCGGATCTCTGTGAGTTCGAGACCAGCCTGGACTACCAAGTGAGTTCCAGGACAGCCTCCAAAGCCACAGAGAAACCCTGTCTCTAAAAACCAAAAAGAAAAAAACAAACAAACAAAAAAACCCTTTACCCTGTTATTCAGTTTGTGGAGTCCCTACTTTAAACTATTTTTTTATTTAAAAACTTCACTTGGGTTAATGCCAAAAGCAAAACAACATTTGGGTTCAGTTCTGCACTGTCTCATTTCTTTGGAATTTCCTAAAATATACGAAGTGGTCATAAATCTTGTTTGTAGATATTTGTAGTAAGCAAAAATCTCCATTCTCTTTGTTTCATATTCTCAGCTCAATTCATAATCTGTCAGTGTGTGTGGGGGTGTATGTGTGTGTACATACCTACATGAGGATATGGGTGAATTCACCCATGTGGGTATGTATAAAAGCCAGAAGTTAATATTGGGATATCTTCCCTATATTAACTGTTTTAAAAAAATGTTTATGTGTGTGTGTATGTATGTATGTGTGTATGTGTGTGTGTGTGCACATGACCAAAGAGTCCAGAAGAGTGCATTGAATCTCTTGGAGTTAGTGTTACTGGTGGTTGTGAACTGCCTGGTATTCCACCTTATTTTTGGAGACGGTCTCTAACTGAACCTGTAGATAGCTCTTTTGGCTAGACTGGCTGGCTAGTGAGCCTGGGTAAACCAAGCCGGCCTCCCATATGCCATTGCAGCACTAGTGTGAAGTAAGTGTGTTGGCAATCTATTGGTTTTATTTTATGAACCTCTCATTCTGAGGAAGTCTCAGCTTCATGCTGCCTGGAGGGTTTGGGTGCAACAAAGTCGAGGATTCTTGTCTTGGACAGAGTATTTTATATTCTCATGGCATTTCACAGATTTCCCTCCAATGTCTAACTTCATTTAAGTATTCCGCACTTCTCACCACCTTCTAGCCCAGTGACTCTTGTTTCTTGACTTGAGGGTGATAACCCCCCTTCAGTGCCTTTAGTTCCCTCTGCTTGGGACCGGAGCCCCCTGCTTACCCCTCCTTGCGTGTCTTGCTGCTGCTTCAGTCTGCTTGGCTGGGTTGTCCTTTCTCCAGGAGTCTGCTACTCATTCTGCTAGAAGGCTGTCATCAACCATTTTAACTTAGAAAGCAAAATTAAATAGTAATCATTTTGTGATTTTTTTCATCTTGACTTTTATCTCTGCCCTCACATTTAAGCCCTTTAAGAACAGAGACCAGCCCTCCCTAGTCAGTTAATGGTGGCTAGGAAACAAGAGCCATTTTCTTCAATGGCATATACCGGCAAGTGCCATGCGCTTGTAAATAACCCTTTATCCATGTTCCTATAGGCAGCCATAATTAAACTCATTGGAACACATACACCCATCCCCACACCCCTACACCCCCTCGCCCCCCACCTCCTCCACCCCTCCCACACCCCCACACCCATACTATCCATACTCATACTCACCCCCACCCCCGACCCCTACCTCCACATATCCATACCTCCCACACTCCATACCCTCATACCCTCAGGCCCACACCCCCACACTTTCCACACCCCACACAGCCACACTCCTCACACCCACACCCTCAGTACCCCCACACCCCCCACACCCACCCACATCCCCACATACATCATCCAAATCCCCAGGCCTGCACCCCCCCACACACACCCACAGGGGCGGGGTGGAGAAAGGGCTCTGTTTGGGGAGAGGATGATTATAGAAGGTGGGAAAGGATCAAGGGAGATAATGAGTGCATAGGATCAAAGTGCTTTCTCTTCATGTGTGAAAATATAGTAAACGCTTTACTGCAGATAATTAATATATGCTGGTAAAATGACATAAAAACCCTTTGTTACATATAATTAATATATGCTCATAAAATGTACAAAAGGACAGAGTCCATGCCTATGGAATACTGACAACAGTAATCCCGGATTTAGCCCTAGACCAGGCATGTGGTAGGTGCTGTATATGTTGAGTGCATAAGTGGGTTGGGTTGTTAGGCATCGTGGTATCACTAGGATCATAGGAATACTGTCAGAGGTGAAGAAACATTCACACCTAGTCAGTAAAAACAGGCTGGATGCTCTTGTGAGGCCTGATGTACAGGGATCAGGAGTCAGTTGACTACATCTGGTGAGGACAGGCTGGGCCTAGTGGGGGGCATTCCACAAACTGGTCGTGGTTAAAGCGAGGAGACTGGAGGGGCTGTCCACAGTTAGTCACTGCATTTCTCTTGAGCTCATTCTGCTAGCACTCCCCAATTTAACAACGGCAGTGGTTTGGCCTCCTTTCAGCCCCATAATAAGAATCTCCATGGTTGGAGAGCAGCAGCCTACAGGGAGCTGCCAGCCTAGTGTAAGAAGTTCACACAGGCAGGCGCAGAGCTCTGGGGAGCCCCAGTAAGATGAGTCCTTACGTTTCATGGATGTGTGAGAGCAGTTGGCAACATAGGAGGAAAACTAGAGCAGTAGAGTCACAGGTAGTAGAGGTCACAGGGTCCTACTTTTAGAGCAGATATTGATGAAGATTTGTGATAGACTGTCAAACAATGAGATACAGATTTCCACCTGATGCTTATATTGGTCCCTTGACAACTGTAAACCCATGGAGTGTGTTAGAGAATCAGCATACAGTGCCATCTGATTCTTTTAGGTAGATCCTAGGAACAGGGCAAACAGCTTGCTTGTGTAATAGCACGTATACTAAAACTGTCATTTCTCCGTTATTTACAATGTTGGGAGAGTTATGTGTCTTCCACAGGGCATTCATCTTCTCAGAGTCTAATCTCTTTTAGCTTGCAGTCTTACCATGCTCAGATGAAGGTAGTCTTGTCAGTGACATGAATCTGTTTTAAGAGGAACTTGGACACTCTCAAGTCATTTCTGAGTAGTTTGGGGAGTTACTGGGAAAACCTGAGTCTACTTGGATGTGAAAAAAAATGGCACCTTGGAAGCCTTTGACTCTAACCCTTTCCAGTTTTTTTCTTACCCTTATAGGCAGAGAAGTTTGGTGACTCCTTTGTCTTTGATGGCATGTTGAGTGAGCAAGTGAAGGCGGACGTCCACCAAGCAGTAAGTAGTGCTTAAACAGGCTCTCTTGTTTCTCTGGGACCATCAGAAACTACAAATACTACCTTCATCTCCCTGCTGGTGCCTAACCATTCTCTCAGTGTAGATTTGCCCCGGTCACAGGCCCATGGGCCAGAGTGCCTTGTCTGGCTGAAAATATACAAGCCCAGGATGATGTTGATGAAACTTCTGGTCTTTCTGCTTGTGCCTTGGAGTGACACTGTGCTTCTAAGTAGAACCCAGTTCTGTACTTTGGATTTGTTTTACTTGCAGCCATTTTTAGAATGGAGGATAAATGAGTGTCACAGACTGTGTTTTCAAAGTCTTGACCCTGTCAGGATTGGGTGTGTTGCTCAAGCTTTGTTAGCATTCATGAATCCCTGTGCAAAGTCATGTCCATGGAAGGAGTCCTTTTGCTGGGGATGTTCATAAAAGATGGGGGCTGGGAACTAGTCCTTAGAGGAAGGTGTGTTCCATCTTGTACAGGGAGTGTTAGTTAACTCTGTTTTTCTCAGGTGTGGACACTATTGGCTAGTCTTCTATAAGTACTGTGTGTCAGGAAGAACTTGGGATTCCTGTGTCAACCAGTTTGGCAGGTCTATAAATATTTATTTGTATATATGTCTCATGAATATGCAAAAGCAAGAGAAAGATCGAGGTTGAGAGTTCTTACAACATGGTGAATAGAGACTGCAGAACAGGAGACAGTGAGAGAGAGTGGACCTTGGGGTGTCTGACGACTCAAGAAAGACAGCTACGGAGGTAAAGATGAAGAAAGCTCACCCTAATCTTCCTCTTTCATACAAGGTTCCTTTAAATCAGTCATGCCTGGGAACCAGAGAGATAGCTCAGTGGTTAAGACCACTGGTTGCTCCTAGAGAGGACCCATGTTTCTAGTCTCATAACACATGGAGGCTCACAACCATCTATCACTTCAGTTCTCGGGAATATGATGCCCTCTTCTGGCTTCCACAAGTACTGCATGCTTGTGGTGCACAGACATACAGGCAGGTGAACACCACCACATTTAAAAAAAAAACAAAACAAAAAACAGTCCTATCTGAACTTCATCCTAAAGTGTTGGCATCCTTGTGTCCTTTCCTGGGAGTAGCAGCATCATGAAATGGACCCCTTCTGGCTCATGCTGGGTTGCTCTCTCTCTGTTGTAACCAATGTACAACAATTTATGGTAGGGGATGATGAAGTTGATTTGGTCTCAGATTGTAAAATTGTCTTCTGGCGAGTCAGGCCATTTTTCATGTTTGTTTTTAGTAAATGCTCAAAAGGTGTGATTGTCCTTTTAAATTCCAATTTGCCCATACCAGTTAGTATTGTTTCTTACAAAATCTAATCCCCCAATTCCATTTTTTTTGGGGGGGGGATTGAGTTCAGCTCAGGGTAGTGGTGATGACCCAGCAAGCAACTCAGGGCGTGGCTCCTGGTTTAAGATATGGGGTTCAGATGAAGGAGTCCATCTGCTCCTGTTTCTGTAATCTGCCTTTCAAATGCAGGGTGTGTGTCTCAGGAACTCCGAATGTTTTAGGTGGGAAGGCAGACGTGGGGCGAAGGCTCCAGAGGCGTCCTGAGTCACAGTGAAGTGTGTGTGCTCGTTGCTAGGAGAAGGACAAGCAGCTCTCACCTGGCTGCAGGGTTGGCCCTGGTTTAAATGCTTATAATGGAAAAGTAAACCTTTTAAGGTTGTTTTGAAAGGGTTAGAAGAGCAAAGTAAGTCTGTTGATGGCCTGGGAGAGCTTTATCCCATCTCCTTTGTTGACCTGATTATCTCCGCTCTCTAGACCTTTTGTAAGCCCACATTTCCATAAGGCAGGACGTGAGATGCCCATGAGATGATTTTAGGCTGACTTTAGGAGGGGATGAGACAGTGGGAGGTCACCTGGAATTACAGTACCTTTCAGGCATCTTTAGGCCTTAAGTCAAAAGAAGGGCTCATTGGAGTTCTGGAATGTCCTTCACACCTGACAATAGTTTGTTTTCAACATAAAAACAGATGGGAGAACCCTGCTGCTGCTGTATTAGCTGGTAAAAATATAGCAACTGTGTTTATTTTTATGTGGTTGTTTTCCGGATTGTATTATGTTTATTCCAGCTTACAATAGTAGTATGAATTTTGCTATTTTTGGTGTCTAATAAAACACAAATACGGATAGTAGCCTGATCTAAATGTGTTATTACATTGTCCTCAGATGGAGCACACTTGGCCCCCGTCACCTAGAATGAATGAATGAAATGCAGTAATGAAAGTTGCTACCTGCCCCAGCATCCCCCTATGTGTGTGACAGTAGTCACACCCGTTCTGTTCTTAAAGTAGCCCCTGGCCTGGTTTTTTTTTTTGTTTGTTTGTTTTTTTACGAGACAGGGTTTCTCAGTATTGTTTTGGAGGCTGTCGGTCCAGCCTGGCCTCGAACTCACAGAGATCCGCCTGCCTCTGCCTCCGGAGTGCCTCCGGATTAAAGGCATGCGCCACCACCGCACGGTCCCTGGCCTGGTTTTTAAAGTGAGTTCTTCCTTGCATTTCATTTTATCATCATCACCTAGGGGTATACCTTACATTTAATCTTGCCCATTTAAAGAAATGCTTGTCAAAGTCATTACTGCATTTGTCTTATTACTTTTTACCCTCTGAAGACCATAGAACATTTAGCTTGTAGACTTCCAAGTCCGAATTTGCTGATTGACAACTGTGATGGTTTGCAGATGTTTCCTGCAGACGGTAGCCGACCTCTGAAAGTGATCAGGCTCACGGTGTACCTGTGTCATGAAAATCATAGCAGGGTCGTCCTCTAGCACAGTGGTTCTCAACCTGTGGGTCATGACCCCCATAGGGGGCAAGTGTCAGATGTCCTGGATATCAGATAATTTCAATTCATAACAGTAGCAAAATTACAGCCATGAAGTAGTAATGAATAATTTAATGGCGGGGGTCAACATAACTTGAGGAACTGTATTAAAGGGTCACAGCATGAGGAAACTTGAGAGCCACTGTCCTAGCGTAAAGCAGCTAATGTCTGCTTCTTCATCCTTTTTGTCTATCAGCTGATACTGTGCTTAGTGGCTACGTCCATGAGTTTATTGAGATTGTGGATGATGGGAGCCTAACTATTTTTTATTTATTGATAGAGATCCTTTCATAAAGTGGTAGTTCCCTCCACTTTGTGTTTTCTTACCATTGGTACAGCACTGGCTGTCCTGGAACTCGATTTGTAGACCAGGCTGGCCTTGAACTCATAGAGATCCACCTACCTCTGCCTCCTGAGTGCTGGGATTAAAGGCATGCACCAACTGCTAGAAATTTTATTTTTAAGTTGGACATGTTAGCACACATTGTGATCTCTGCACTTAGGAAGTTGAGGCAGGAGCATCCAAAGATCAGTGCTAGTCTTGGCTACATAGTAAATTAAAGACTAGCTTTATCTCAAACAAACAAAGAAACAGAAGACACCCCAAACCAACTTTTGTTTAAAGACAGTTATATTTTCACAGGGAGTTATATGAGGGGGTGTGTCCTAACTGAGTTTCCTGTGGTAATATTATCTTGTTTAACTATAGTTCACAGCCAGATATGACAGGTGGTATACCCTCCCCTTGTTGGCTGATCAAGCCAGTTTTGTGTATTTATTGTGCATATATGTATTTAGTCCTATTTAATTTTGAAGCAACTGCAGATATATGTGAATAGTATATTAAAAAAAAGAATTCATGGATCTGTACATGTGTTTCATTCACTTGGAATTATGATCTTTTCTGAAGGCCTCACCTTGCCATTTTTGAGTTCCGGATGCCTTTTCAAATTCATGTAGGCCCTGTTCTGTCCCCTCCTCTTGCTTTAAACAGTTGCATTGAGATGTAGTTTATATATTGTGCAATTCATCTTTTTAGGTGTTCGATTCAGTGTTGTTTGGTATGCTTTTAGAGTTGTGCAGCCATCCCCACAGTCTAATTTTAAGTTGTTTTCCCTGGCCCATAAGGGAACCTTGTTCTGGATCCTTTTGAGTCCTTTATGGCCCCTGTGCTTTTTCTGATGATAGTATCTGTCCCACCCCGGTCCAGTATCAGCTCTGTTGTAAGAAGCCCTGGTTTCTGTCTAGTTTCTCTTTTGTTGCTGGCATGAAATGTCCAAACAAAAAGCAGCTTAGGGGAGAAAGACTTTACTTTGGTTTAAAGTTTCAGAGGGAAGAGTCCATTATGGCATGGCGACAGGAGCGGGAAACTTAGCTGATCACACTGCATCCGCACTCAGGAAACAGAAAATAAGTGGGACCAGGCTGCAAACCTCAACGCCTGCCCTGGTGTTGCATCTCCTCCAGCAGGCCTCCACCTGCTAAAGGTTCAGTAACTTTCCCACACAGGGCTTCCAGCTGGGGACCAAGTGTTCAAACCAATGAGGCTAGAAGAATGTTCTCCGTTCAGATCACAACTGCATCTCAATAGAGGACTGTTTTCCTTTTTTCTCTTTTTTTCAGAGCGTGTTCAGTGCCACTGCATTGCCTCTCCAGTGGGCAGAGCTTAAGTAAGATAGCCCACAGTTTCATGTTGATACTTCCATTTCTGGATTTTCAACTTAGCCTGTCCTGCGTTACATCCTTTGCTTCATATCTACACCAGGAATCCTGTTTCTGAGGGCAGGGGCAGGGGGTACTATTCACAGCTATTCAGGACTTCATCCATGATCACACTCCAGTGCCAGCATCATCTCTGTGGTGCCTGAGAACAGGTTAAAGCAAGCTCAAATCCTCACTTGTGGTTTCCTCTTCTCCCCCAGCTCTAAGACTACTTCATTTTACTTCCAAAGCTTGGACTCCACTGCGTGGAGTTTGTTCGTCTTTTTTAGCTCCTTAGACTGAGTTCTAAAAGTGAGTCTGTGTTCAGTCTTCTAAGTGAAGAGGCTCACTCTCCGCTAGGTTCTTCAGGAAGTGTCCATGGGAACAGTATTCCTTCATATCTTGCTGCGGCACTTTTAAACGCTCAGGTCAGTCTTGCTGGAG